CCGCTAATGACAGCCCGTTCTCACGGCTTGCCCTGCTCTCGTCCCCCAGAGACACCGACCTGCTGCCGGCAACTCGACGTGCTTTGCAGCTCCCCAGATACCATAAACATGGACATAATTACAGCCTGCTCTTGCTCCGGCCAGGAGGGACCAGGCTGCCCAGCTCCACAATTCCCGAGCCCTTTGCAAATCCCCACAGGGGGGACAACACCGGCTCAGTAATTGCAGTAACTTTCCTTCCCCCCGCCCTCCACCCCCCAAATATACCCAAATACCAGCACTAGGAAAAATACCAGTCCACTGGAGAACTTTTTAGGCTCTCCAGACATGCACTGCAGTTTTCATGCTCATCAGTGGTCTCTGCTTTGCCCATAAAGTTTTCGGTAGTGACTTCCCCAGTGCAGCCTCTATCTTTTCCTCGCTCGAGTTTGTCCGGACGTCTAGCTAATTGAGGCTTACGTCAAATATTGCTCATCTGAAGTTAAATCTTAGATGCTGAAGGCTGCTCTTTGTTTCTAAATGAAAAGGCTTGTGGCTCCATCAAGGAGCTGAAAGAAAGAAAGCCTGGATTTGTACTTTTCTGCAGTTTTAAACATGACACTCTCCCTTTTATTTATTTTCCTTTTTTTAAACTCTGAAGGCTCAGCAGGCAAGCCTCTGCAGAGACGAGGGCTTTGCACCGGTGAGATCTGCAAACATGTCTCTTCTTTCTTGATCTTTATTTTTCTCACGGTCTCTGAAAAGGCGAGATCAGGTGATACGTGTGGGATTGGCCCTGTACAGGTGCAGATCAGGTACTGGAGGAGGTGGAAAAACATTACTCTGTATACTCAGGGCAAAAAAAAAGGGAAAGAAAAGAAAGAGAGACAGAACGAAAGAGCGAGTGAGCACATTTCTGAATAGGCCAGGTCTAGTTCTTGGCAGGATGACTCAGGCTTAGCTGGCAGACTATGGGAATGGGAGTGTGAGAAAGTCAGTCAAGCGGAGGGGGGAAAAAAAAAAAGATTCAAGTCCCCGGGCAAAATACTTTTTTTTTTTTTTAAAGTAACCCACAAGCTGTCCCAAGCAGCCGGAGGTCGCCGGAGAGGCGCGGCCGGGCCAGGG